ACAATCTTGACCTTCAACCCGTCACTAATAGTTTGGTTTAAAAAAATCCCGGGTCCTTTGTGAATCAATTTACAGAGTAACACCAGTTTTTACAGTTAATGTCATGAAATCCAGTGTTGACGTGTCAAATGAGACCAAAGGTTATTATATGGACGATTTTGAATATGATATGTAACTATCACCTCGTTAATGTTCCGAGCAGTTTCTTCCTGATCAAAGAGTCAGTACGTACGGCGTAGGTACTGACTCTTTGATCACTTCCAAAAAGCCGAGCTTCCGCACAGCTATCAACATTTCCATAAAATTCTTGTCTGTTAGCGATATTTTAACAGCTACATTAGTTATTCCTCTATCTCTCTGGTGTTTCTTACTAGGGTAGAGTGGTTATTTTTCACAAAATTTGTTCCTTCAATGTGTATCTCAATTTTCATTCGGTGGGTGTATCACCGATTTAATGGTTTGTATAGCAACTATCCGGTACATTTGTGTGTCGTAAAACCGACGTTACATCACTTATGTAGGAAGCAAAAGTAAGTAATCACTGAGATATCTTTAATATGGCTTGGATATAGCATTTTGCAAGTAATTTCAAAGTCTGACTCCTCGGTCAAAACATTTTGCGATTTAAAATTTTCGTGGTATATTTAAAAGAGTTCCAGTTTGTATCCAATTATAACCGGGTAGAGACAGCGAACTTACAAAATGTAAATACTTTCGGCAGAGAGGCTCAGGTTACTAAGAACTTGTTTATCAGTTAATAGGGCCTTGGAAATGCATAATAATCATAGATATTTCAGACACCTTATATATTTGTTCTAAATAAAGTACTAAACTCGCCTTAAAGGCGATTTGTTTATATCTAATGGGCCTTTGTAAATGTGAACCGGAAGATTAGTACGTTTTGTTGCTTTGCTTTTGCTTTATCGCGAACTTGTACTGCTATTTCTACTTGACCGCCCTCCTCTTCGATATCTTGACCTAATGACAAACAGGGAAGTTAGTAAGTGTCAGTGAAAAACGACGTCTCGTTAAGGCAAAGCGCCCAGAGAATATATATAATTTTGCCTTACGTCTGTCATGAAGAATAATAGTCAAAGCTATAAATCCAATTCGCTGCACCGTTACGAGGGGGATGCCACTAAATGGGTCTACGAATTCAAAATTGATGAAAGAAACTGTCACTTATAAGAAGGAATTACGATCGACTCACATGTCACTGGCTGGCCTAGACATTGTTGTACAGAGAAATCAATTGAAATTATCAATATGGATTGGTTATTTACAAAACACGTTTATGCTGACCAAGTAATTTTGTGACTGCAGAAAATGTGCCATTCTACCCCTGCGTATTTCCCTAAAACTAGTAATGAATACCGAACGAAATGAGCAGTCAGGTGTGATGAGCCCACCGAAGGTAAAAATATGATAACAAAGTCTTAATGACTTTGTTGGGTGAAGAAAAATGAACGCTCTACTGGTTGTTTTCTTGATCGAATATCAACAGGAAAACTTAGTTTGAATTAAACCTAGTCAGTTAACGGTAATACTACAATAAAGGGTTGCTGAGTAACACAGGCTACTCCTAAATTTGAGTGTAAGGCTTGTATACAGCTGTTTGGACGGATGACTGGTTTTCTGTCTGGTCATCAGAAGGAACTGTGTCGTTGACTTTCAACCTGAAGAACACAATTGAAAGTAATGTATTTCTTAGATCTGACTCTCTTTGATGAACAAGTAGATCACCCGGATATTAGCTTAAAAACAACAAGACGGTGTTCCGGCGTTAATTCAAAGAATGTACATGCATGTTTTTATCTTTCACTTGAAAGCTATTATATCCTTGGAACAAATTTGGTAAAGTTACATTCGCCTCTGGGTTTTCTTTTTTTTTTTTTTTTTTAGTACGTTTGGTTTTCGGCGAGATCGGGAAATAAAACACCGAGTGGTGCAGTTGTTAATTAGTGAGTATTCAACATACTCAAAGATGAAACAACGAAACAAAACGGTCTAGCTGAACTAAAGCGATAAGTTTTGAAAAGAACTCTTTGCGTAGTTGAAATCACTTCTACTCGATGTCGCAAAGAAGGAAAATTTGTCGTGAGTCGTGAAACCGATCAAGTGATGGAATGAATATGAATACAAGTCAATGTGGTTTACCTTCTCCTTTCCAAGGACACCGAGCATAAGCATATTAAAAATTAACAGCTTAACATTAAGTTACCACTGATCAGAACTTTTCTAGCATCTAGTGACTAGCTTTTGCCAGAATTTCTCTTTTTTTTTCATCATTTGTAACCACAAGAAACAAGGAATCTTGGATTGCGCGATCTAGCAACTGTGGCAGAAACAACTGCGAGTATGATCGTTTAAACTAAAGACGTTCCTGACTATGTTTTTATCTAAACTTCCCGATCTGTTAAAGCTTGACCTAGTGCGACATTCTTGATGTCAAAACATACCAATCCTTCAGCTCGTCAAGTTCTTTCCGGACAACCTGCAGGCAATCTGTGATTTCCCGAAGTTTCCGTGACCATGTTTCAAGTTTTGGTAATTCCTCTTCCATCGCTGACATTTCTTCAAACGAACCAACTCTTGCTCTATGTATGTGTGACAAAACTGAGTCAGAGCTTCGTCCCACAATTTCCGATGCTGATTCTTTGAATTGTTTAAATGTTGCTTTCATTTCCTTCAACCTTGTCTTCACGATCTGTTGAGCTTTCTCCTTAAATTCACTCTTCTTAGAAGATGATTTAGCCATTTGCAACATTGCTGATGCTGCGCAAATCCCTGTAATAATAAAATAATAACCATCCTATCATGAGAACATTGATAAACTTTAGTTTTTCCTCTTACATCTTCCATTTAGCTCAATAAGAAGTTCTAGTGATATACGAACATGTTCTTCTTAACGATGCACCCATAGATTTACCCAGATAAACGTTTTCCAAAACCTCCATTACTTGTAAAAGGAGCGCAATACTTGTGGCCTTTTTAAAAGACAATATTCTTGTTTCGTACGGGATCATATACAGTGGCCAAGGAATATTATTGCATCTTAAGCACTATCGTCATAATTATCCTTGCCTGGTCATTATCATCTTCATTATTACTATTATCATATCATATCATAAATGTAGCTCCATTTATTAACATTAAAATCATTATTACTACTAACATTATCATTATTATCATTATTATTGTTATATCTTCTATCACAGTCTTTGCTAGTGTTCCCATCGTGCATCGGCCGGGCGCAAACCATGCGCTCCGCTCGTCGCGCGGGTCAGCAAGGAGCGTGTCCCTCAATTTGTGGTCATGCTAAGGTCGAAATATTGGCTACTAATCTACCCTCTCAGACTGCAGAGGCGGCCAACCCAATTGAGAGTCTCTCCCAAAAAATTCCTTCCATAAAAGATCGGGTAGGTACCAACACAAAAAGAACAAACAGCGGACAGAAATGGAAATGAGAGGATTACATTGATGTAATGTTCTGCTATCACAAGGCAAAGGCAGACCCCATGAAGGAGTAACAAAAGGTACATTTAGAATATAGAGAAAAGGAAACCCAAATGAAAGGCCTAATTTAACAGACAATACACTGATGAACTAACGCAGAGTTATTTAAAAAAACAAAACAAAATAACAAGGATTGAGCTCGATAACATCAAGCAAGAGATTAAAAATGAATTAACTGTACAAAACAACGAAATAGATAACGTAATAAATGATGTTTGTAGAAAAAGCCGACAACCTTTATGAGGCAATAAATGAAGATGAGGCAGAACCATCACATAGTCAATCTGAGATCGAAGACCTAGTTAAAAAAAAATTGAGAGGGCAAGGGTAGAACGGGAAAACATCAAAGTGGCAGAGAGGCCCCTTATACCCAAGGTATCAGTGAACAGAAAAGTTGAGCTGTTGATCAAACAAGCAAACCAAGCAATTCAGCTGGTAATAGCAGAAATAACCAAAATGGAAGACAAGATTAGAGACCCAGATTAAAAGTATGAGAGCTGAGCTGTCAATACTAACAGACATGGCACAGAAAGGTGAATCCCAAAAGATTTCCGAGAAAAAACAAAGAATTAAAAAGAAATACAAATAACAACAAACCAAGAAGTGCAAACAGTAAGAGAATCTCTGAAAATGAAATTCAAGCAAAAGCCAAAAGAATCAGGAGATATGTAAAAAGAAGTAAACAATTCAGTCAAAACCAGACTTTTGCAAACAATAGACAAAAAGTTCTTCAGAAACCTTGGTAAAGAAAAGATGTCACTCGAAAAACCTGAGAAAGAAGAAACAGAAACATTTTGGCGTTCCATCTTGGAGAACAATAGAGATTTTTTAAACCAAAATTTTAAACCAAACTATTAGTGACAGGTTGAAGGTCAAGATTGTGGTTTTTGGTTTTTTTTCCCATTTAACTCAGAACATGAAATATACGTTTTCAGTGGAAACAATGCCAATTTGCGAAAAGTTACTATACCATTCAGCAGAGTGGATAAGGAGAGAGGAGCCGAAATATGCAGACACAGAATGCCAACCATAGGAGGATATAAACCAAATTGAGTTGCAGACCGCTATAAAGAAGACAACAACTGGAGTAACCGGGCCGTGATGTGGTTCCTTACCTCTGGCTCAAACAGCTCACAGCACTACACCAATACCCGCTGAATGCATATAAACAAGCTATAGAAAACCCCGAAAATCTGCCTGATTGGCTCACAACGGCACAAACATACGTACTACCAAAGAACAAAAACACAGAGAACCCTAAAATCCATAGATCAATTTCCTAAAAATGAAGTGATCATAGAAGACTGCAAAAACAAGAAAAAGAACTTAAATATGACTTTGATAGATTATAGAAACGCCTAAGATATTGTCCCTCATAGTTGGGTGTTAAAAAACTTACAGATGTACATATTTAATGAGAAGCTTACCCAGTTCATGGAAACCTCAGCGAGTAACTGAAGAACTAATGAAGCTATCTTACAATGATGGATGTATCACAACGAATCAGATCAAGAGCAAGATCAAAAGAGGGATCTTTCAAGGATATTCACTCTCACCTCTGCTATTTTGCCTTGCCCTCGTGCCTTTAACATCAGAGCTGGCTACAGCTGAGTATGGTTACAAGATCTCAAACACAAGTGCTCCAATCAGCAATCTGTTGTATAGGCATGATCTAAAATTGTACAACAAGTATGGGCAAGAACAAGTTCGAGAACTGAAAATAGTGAAACAATTCAGTGATGATGTTGGTATGGAAATTGTCCTTGAAAAATGTGCCAAAGCCGGTTCCAAAAAAGGCAAACTGACCTCAACTGGAAATATAGTAATAAATAAGGACGCAGAAATACAAGAGTTGGACCAGGAAGGGCTATACAAATACCTGAGTGTAGATGAAAGTGATGGTATCCATCATAGCAAAATGAAAGAGAAGATAAGAAATATAACAGGAGAGTAAGATTGATCCTAAGAACTGAATTCAATGGAAGAAACATAAAAGAAGCTATCAATAGTCTTGCAGTCCCGGTTGTGCATTATAGTTTTGGCACCATTGACTGGAAAATCTCCGAATTGAAAAAGATTGACATAAAAACATGCAATCTATTGAACATGCACAAGATGTTACATCCTGAAGCAGATGTGGAAAGGCTGTGCATCCTAAGAAAAGATAGAGGAAGCGGCCTGACTGATGTAGAAACAGCATTCAAAATAGTAACAATAGGGCTTAATCATTATCTGAAGTACAAATTAGGGCAATATCCAAAGCAGGTGCTAGAACATGAAAGATCTAAAGCCAAAAATTCAATAACTAAGAATACTACTAAGTTCAAAAGGAAGTGACAATGCCAGAGTTTAAGAACAGAGGAGAAAAATCAGCTTTGGAAAATGCTAATGCCCTGAAACACATATGCAAGTCTAAAATGAAATCCATGAAAGAAGAAAAGTGGAAAAACAGCTGAAGACCAGGCCATAAACACAAGAAACTACCATGATTCCACCATCCCCTTCTTTATTGAATCAAGCGCACCAACAACCATAGGGATCGCCACAGTTTTCATATGCCACATTTTCTTTATTTCTAGTTCTGGGTCTTGGTTCTATTAGTATTTATATTTAAAATTTTATTTATACTGACATGTGTAAAAAAAATGTAGAATTATAGATTCCATTGTAACTAGATTTAGCACTGGAAATAAAGAAGTGACAGATTATTGGCTCAGTAATTATCATTATTATTATTGTCATTATTGTAGAATCGCCATGCACAATATTCAGATGACCTAGTAGCCCTTCTAGGCTATTCATTTGTCACAGGACACCACGCAAGGTGATCCGCTTGCCATGCCTCGGTACTTAAAGAACACATCCATCCAGAACCAGACCTTGAGAAAGTCTACTCCAGTAGTCAAGTAAGTATGGCTTAGGCATATCAGCTTAGGGATGAAGAATTTCACTGCTTTCAAGCTGTTATAAGCCCTTGACCCAAGAAGGAACAAAGTTTGGTTAACTTGTTAATTGATCAAAAAAGCTGGTTCATTAATAGTCAGAGGAAATGCCACAATATAAATTGATGTATGCATGTTTAACATATGTTACTGAAATAGTAACGAGAAAAAGTCAACGGCATATATCCTCGAAGGGCAGAGAACTAGAAGAAGGGGTAATACCAGTAACGCGTGGTGGAGGTAGAGATGGAGTCCTTTGCATCTCTCGTCTTTGCTACAAACAGCGGAATGGGTGCTGACTGTAAAATGTTCCTGTAAAACCCCGCGGAGAAACTCTAAACGAGGAACGGAGAGGCCTGCGGAGAAGTGATCCATGGCTAAGAAAAGTTTATCGTTTGAGATTTGAGATTTGTTCAATGAGTGTCAGAGACTTTAAAATGCTATTCCGTGAAGCAAAGGAAGTCCTAAATTATTTTAAACTTCATGGTACAGGAGTCAATTCGATCTAGTAGTTCTCCCTTTGGTATCCAATGTTTTATCGAGAGCATTTCGGAGAGATTGTGCCATATATTATATTTTTTAATTCCTAACATTTACGGTGATGTATTTTACTCCATTTAAAATCGTTTAATCTTTTTATAATAAAAATAATAATTATAATATTGATAAAAATAACAATTTAAGGATAAGTTTATATTGTTATTGTCATTATAATAATTATCATTATTGTTGTCATTATTAGAAGAAGTAATGGTAGTAATAGTAGAAATATTAATTTTATTGGTAATGGTGGTTGTAATGGTTATTGTGGTTGTGGTGTTAGTGCTGGTTGTGGTAATTGTGTTGATGCTGGTTTTGGCTTTGGTTGATGTAATAGTAGTGGTTGTGGTTGTGGTAGCGGCAGTGATGCCGGTGGTTCTAATTGTGGTGCTGGTTTTTGTGGAAGTGGTGGTAGTTGAATTGTTAGTAGTGATAGCGTTAGTGACGGTGATGGCCCTGGTGGAGGTGGAGGTGGAGCTGGTGGCTCTGGTAGTAATGGTGTTGGATATGGTGGCGGTGGTAGTAGTTGTGGTGGCTGTTATGGTGCTGGTAGTGGATGTTGTGGTAGTGGTGGTGGTAGTTGTGGTACTGCTTGTGGTAGTAGTCATGGTTGTGGTGATGGTGGTTCAGGTGGTTCTTGTAGGGGGATCAAGGTTGTTGTGGTAACGGAGATAGTGATGGGTGTGGTGGCTGTTATAGTAATAGTTATAGTAGTGATACCTTTGGTGGCTGTGGTAGTGGTGTTGAGGATGTTTTGGTGGTGCTTATAGTGGTATTGGTGGTGGTAGTTTTGGTGCGCGATGTGAAACAGTGGTTATGTTTGTGATTGTTGCAGTGGTGGTGATTGTTGTGATTCTGATAGCGTTGGTTGTGGTGCTGGTAGGTGTGGTGATGGTTGTGATAGTGGTGGTTATGGTGGTGTTGATGTTGGTTGTAATGGTGGTGGTGGTGAGGTTGTAATGTTGGTTGTGGTTGTGGTTGTGGTCGTAGTAGTGGTTGTTGTGGTGGTGGGGGTTGTTGTGTTGAGGTTGATAGTAGTGGTGTGGTAGTGTGGTGGTGAAGTAGAAGTGGTAGTAGTGGGTGGTGGTGTTAGTGATGGCAGTAGTAGTAGCGGTGGTAGCAGTAGTGGTGGTAGTAGGAGTGGTATTGGTGATGGTGGTGTTGTAGTGGTTTTGGTTGTGGTGGTTGGGGTGGTTGTGGTAGTTTGAAAGTGGTAGTTGTACTTGTAGGGGTAGTTGTTGCTGTGGCTATGGGAGGTGGTTATGGTAGTGGTGGTTGTATTAGTAGCAGTAGTAGTAGAGGTAGTAGTAATAGAAGTAGTAGTAGTAGCAGCAGCAGCAGCAGCAGCAGCAGCAGCAGTAGTAGTAGTAGTAGTAGTAGTAGTAGTAGTAGTAGTAGTAGAAGTAGTAGTAGTAGTAGTAGTAGTAGTAGTAGTAGTAGTAGTAGTAGTAGTAGTAGTAGTAGTAGTAGTAGTAGTAGTAGTAGTAGTAGTAGTAGTAGTAGTAGTAGTAGTAGAAGTAGTAGTAGTAGTAATAGTAGTAGTAGTAGTAGTTGTTGTTATCGTACTTAAAAATTGTTAACCGAAGTGGAGGTGAATAGTGTTGGATATTTATTGAGCCGGAAGCGCGAGGTAAACGTCCACTGCTTTCACCAACACTGAGGTCCTGTAAATTAGTTTATTTCCTTCTTTTAAACCGAACAATTGTAAGAAATTAACTTGTAATGCGCGATTTTGTCTCATCAGCTGCCCGAAGGCGAATAGTACTAGTTATTCATTTTATAACTAGCCACTCACTGCATGCGAAAAGTACTACTTCCCTGTGTGGTATTTGGTTATTGACAAATAAAGAAGCCTAGACTGTGTTCTGTTCTGTTGTAAGGCACCCAGGAGGCGGCTAGATAACGAAAGAAGTGTAGGGAGAAACATTACCTACTTCTTGATTACCCCAGCCGCTTCCCAGCTGCTTCACAACTGACAGAGCACATTCAAGGCTTGTTTAATTATTTTATAATATAGAACATGTCGAATTCCACACGCATTAGTTACAATATTCAAAACAAATTTTAATATTTGAAGCGAACAAGAGTGTCGTCAGCATGCTCTATACTGCCAAAAAAACACACTGCAATAAGCCAATCAGAATCCTTGTTAAAATCCTTATTAGATCGGTGAAAATAACATGATTGGTTTGACAAGAAAAAAGCTGTCAAAAATGTTTAGCCATCGAAGTTCACAATTTGGCAGGTCGAATTTGACACTCTGTGGCCACTCGCTGGCTCGCTTGTTCCAAATTTCACTTTCTATGAACGCAAAAAAGGTTGAGAGAAGTCCGAGAAATGGTAGGACATAGTTCAAATTGACAGGTGGCGTGACAACTTTAACTCAGCTCCGCGTTTTGTACTCTTATAGAACACGGTACTTTAACCTGTGACAGCGCGCGTTATGTCTTTTTTATAATAGTAGCTAAAGTAGCAGTACAGTTATTACCGCTACTGATTCTACTGCTCTGGTAGCACTATTTTACTAACTATTTCAATAGGGAAGAATCTCCTCCGTGAAAACGTCTTTCAAAAATGATTACCTGTATTGCAATTAAGGAGATGCCACCATCCCTCGGGATACATAAGCACAGTAAGTCATAGAATTACTTACCAGAAGCAATTGGTGCTCCTTTACTCCGTTGGTCTATCATCATTCCGATAGCACATGCGGCATTTAAAAAATTCAACCCATACTCCCGCCAGTTGTATGTCTGTTCGGCGTAGCCGCCGTCTTCAGACTGTTCAGCTCTATAGGATGGTACCTTATATTCTGAACATCCATAATTATATCGCAGGGCATCCTTCCAATTCTGAAACTTGGCCTCTACCTTTCGAGTTTTTTCCTGTAAATGTTCTTCAATTACCTTGATCTGACTATCTGTTTCCTGGCTGTTACAATCCCCAAGTTTTTGTTTCAACCAATCAATCTCATTGTTAGAGAGATCGTTACATATCAGTTCATCAAGTCCTCTCACTTCCTGGCGCACTGTATCGAGGGATTCGAGATCTTCTTCCATAATGCTGATTTCCTTCTGTAAGCTTTCTAGACGGTCTTTGGTCGTTCTCTTCCTATAATCGATGATGTGAGTAAAGTTTTCGGAGCCTTTGACGAATTTGGAAGCGATATGTTCAGCTAGCTCTATGAGAACAACACCTTTTCCTGCTTTAACAGATTTTGCTCGCTCAGCCAGATCCCTCTCAAACCTTAGAAACTCCTCTCTTCCAGTATTTCTTTCTGCCGTCTCCTACAAAGGCAATTATACGAAAATTCTGCAGTTACCGTAAAAAAAAGATAATGCATATTCATTGAACTGACATTTTTTCCTTGGAAATTTTACCACCAAAGTCGATCTCCACTGTGTTATGAGTAACTGTCTCAACTACCAACTGACTGCTGAGTCATGCTGACTTGCATACCATAGTACTTTACAGAACATTTCATCAAGTCACGCATTAATTATGTAATACTACGTATACTAAAATATTTCTTATGTAAGCCTCTGGAATGTTCCAGAACACTTAGTGAATATACATAAAGACTCACTTATGTAGTGGTAAGAGTAGTTGTTGTTGTCGGAGCGACGACTGTTTTGAAAGAAAGAGAGTTTATGCGGATGATTACTCATTCCAAGGAACTTTGGAGACAGCAGTGAGATTCTGTCAGTGGTGAGCTAAGATATAGACTGTGGTGGGCTTAATTAAGTTTATTAACGATAAGTATTGAACTACTTTAAGGAGTCGCTCCTTGTTAAGAACATCACTCGCTGTTTTACAAAGAAGTTGAGTTTGTTGGATTGTAGTGTTTTTCTGTCGGTTAGATTACACCTTAATAACTGGATATGGCGGAACTAAAAACCTCGAAGGCATTTGAGCACCCTCAAAATTTTCGGTGCAAGTAGGTTCGCTCCGGAAAAGGAATACAATGGGAGGGTATTTTAAAATGCTGTCAGATATGCGTTTTATGCGCGAAGTTTTGGATTTAAGAATTTAGTTTTTAGAGCTTTAGCACAGGCCGTATACATAAGTTCCGTGATAGATTAACATGCTCGTCTAAGTATATTATTTACATGGCTTTATGTAATGAATTAGTTTCAATACGTGGGTTCTACGGCAACGGAGTTTAATAGCTCTGGCGACGAACTTATCATGTGTAGGTCCTTTTTGATAACCAACTGAATGTCTTGGAGGGCAGGGTTGTAATCAAGCACTAGATAACTTTTATTTCTTATCAAAAAGAGAATTTTTGATGAGAAAAAAGAAAATTATATACTCTGACCCATCACAGCGCCCGTTGCGTTTAAGTTATGTAAAAAAAAGCCTTTTTATATATTGGTTGATGTAATCGTTGATAGTTGTTGTCTACGCGGAATCCCTTTGCCTCTCATGGGCCATTTCCTTCTTCAAATTGATTTTACAAGGTTTTTTTTTACATAACTTAGACACAACGGGCGCTGTGATGGGTCAGAGTATATAATTTTCTTTTTTCTCATCAAAAATTCACCTACAGAATACTCCAGTATCTCGATTTGCCTCGTTTTCTGATTTCAGGTTGCTCCAATTAGACCGCCAGAATACATGAATTCAAAACTTACCGTGGCTAGTGTGGTATTCTCTGCTTCAACGAAATAAACTTCTTGCTTATCTTTCACCGACTGTTCAAATCTCTCTTTGTAATTTTTTCTTGCTTGTTGCCGCTTCGTCTCACTCATTTTTTTAGTGACTTCATCCCATTTAGTAAAGACGCCAAACTTGAACTGGAACTGCCTCTCGTTTAGCACACCTACAACCTTAAAGCGAAATAAAATAATGTAGCGAACAATTCCTTTCATTTTTTTTCTACGTTGTTTTGCTTTTTTGTGCCATTTTGACATTTTATTTTGGCTAAGAAAACACCTCTGTTCTTATCCCTTTACATTTCAGTGCTTGAAGATAATTAAAAACTCAAAAAGATCCACAGAAAGTTTTATCGATTTAAAAACAAACTGAAGTAGTCTCTCGATGTGCCCTCTTCTTTCCATATCTCCAATTGAATTCCAAAAACAATCGAAATGACCGATATAAGGTCAATAAACAGAGCACTATGATCAGCTCTAACTGCCCCCGTACTAAAAGACTATTATGACGTCCCATCTAAGTATTGAACCGGGTATACAGTACTTACATCCTGAATGGAAGGTGACATGAAATCCATCACAGCCACCATTAGATCTGCCTTCTTGCAGGAGTTAGCGACGGCTTGATCCCACTTGTTAGTCTCTCCTAAACCGGGTGTATCTACCAAGACAATGTCTTCTGGTAGACTGCAGAGGTTACGGGGCCAATTTACTCGTATGACACTTTCACAGTTTATATTTTGCTTCTCCCTCTCTTTCTCAGTTTTCTCGTCAACCAGTGCATCTAAAAATTTCTTTACTTCTTCTTTGTCTTTTATTTTGGAGAGTATGGTTCCAGTACCTGTGTCAATAACGTTCCACAGAACATCAGGCGTAGGACGAACTTCAAAGGTGCACATCGTTGTTGTACAAGGTCCAGTGGGAAGACGATCGTCTCGAAGTAAGGCGTTTATCAAGGATGATTTTCCACTGCTTGTACGTCCCACAAACACAATGGTTACGTCTTCAGATACCGCCTTCCGAAGTTCTTCTTTCAATTTAACCAACATTGGCATTAAGTCATTCTGCGCCTCCCTAATTATCTCTGATGCGAGAGGGTGTTTATTGTTGTACTTTATGTAGTACTCATCATAGATCTCCTTAACCCCTTGTAATGCTTCCGTTAAGCTCTGAATTTTGTTGATCAATTCCCCTTTAACTTTCTTTACTGTTTCTCTAAACTCCTCCCAGTTCTGCTCTCTAGTCGATACAGCTGATCCCGCGGTTGCCATCGCTTGCTTTCTAGAACAAGTTAAAAGAACTGTTAACTTCGTCACCTCAAGCATTTATTTTCATTTAGTTCAAGTGTTAGGACCTGCACGTGGATGGCACGGTATAGAAAAAGTTCGTGGTAAATAATTGAGTAAACGAAGAAGAAGCGTTCTAGAAAACATTTAACTATAAAAAATTGCGATAAAATACTTCTACAACCAATATGATACCTTTGGAAAAAAATTGTTTAGTTTTAAGTTATTTATTCTTTAAACGTGTTTATTAGTACCTTTTGTTGATTTTACAAGTTGTACCCTGAAAATTTTGTATTTTTTGCCGGACTTGATGATGACGTTACCATAACGTCCACTAGCTTTTTATAGCTTTTTAAGCTTTATAATGATGGTTATTGAAGAATTTTATGGCAATTTTAAGTGGCCGGTATTTTACAGTAAAACGTTTTGCTTGGCTTCTTGATTTGTTTGTCATTCTCTTTAACGGGAGTTTGATTCTACCTTATAACCCTCCCATTTCGAGCGATTTTATTGGCTACTTTACGTCACGTGGTGCAAAATCACCACGCAATAAACCCGTCTGCGTCGTTATTTGTCCTTCGATAAGTTACGTTGAAATTAAATAAAGTCGGCTCAAAAGTTTCATTTCAACTATTTTACACGGAAAAACAAACTTGTTTTTTAGCAGTGATAGTCATATCACTGGAGCTCAATGGCATCGACGGAGTTATCTCATTTTTAACAAACTAATTCAAGGTGGCTATCGAATTCCTTTTTTCACATTGTCAAACAGAGAACGATTAAATTAATACCTGAACTGCTCAAATGTCCACGATTTACCATTGAGCAAATGTCTCAATATTCCACGTAGCAAGCCAATGTAAGTTTACGAAATCTGTTATCGGCTTTTTATTGTCTCACCTTGAGAAAGTAAATATCCTTGAATTGACTGGGAAAAAACCAGCCTTTGTCAAACCTACCTCTTCAATGTACACAAAGTATCAAAACTAAGTACTTCAAGTTTAACAAGCAAAGACTAATTTTTCTAACGTAGATTGATCGGCTGACAAGCACAATGTTACAATAAGTATCATACTAGAAAAATTGTTATTCCAGCTATTCTTTACAACGATATCTTCAAATGTATAACTGTTTGCAAAAGTTCCTGTAATCGTTTGATAATTGGCAAGCTGAAACAAAAACTTCCAACCGCCTTTGGTTAACTTTTTTAAATGCTGCACTAAGTTGCCTTTCAAAATTCCTCCTTCTGTGCTTGTATGCTCCCTGTATGATTTTGTTTAAAAAAGATTCAAACAAATTTCATTGAGGCTGACTCTGTTAGCTGGATTTCCATTTTCAGTTTTTCTCTCAAAAACGGATTGTCCACAGTTTGTGTAAAAGTTTCGTTGTATAATAAAACCTTTATTTTATTACAGCCTAGCTCTTTTCCAGCGTTTTATTATTGTCGACCTCAAATTCGGCTCCTTCAATAAGGATTGGGAAATATTCGCCCTCCTTTAAATATCATTTCCTAGTCGCATCCACTCACACAGACTTCCAAGAGCGACAATCAACAACTCTTCAATTGAAAATTACACAGTTATAGCTGTATTCAGCAAGGAAAAGTCTCGTATAGCAGTACTGAATTTTGTATTAGGATAATCTCAAGCTCATACGCAAAATGATCTCTGGGGTTAAATATTTGCTCAAAACAAAAACCTCACTGTATTTTAAAAACTTATGCACTAATTTTACCACGGGATATCCTGGTCACATGATTTACATACTGTAGCTCCCTTGATGTTAGACAAAGCATGAGCAAGAGGAATGAATACCTGTTTTATCCGGTTCCTCTTTATGGATTGATAAAGGGATGTTTTCTTTATAAGTAAAGGAAAGACAAACAGCTTAGCAAACTCAGAATATAGACAGTTAAGGGCTTTAAATGGTCACTCAGTATGGCACTATTTTTAACGCATTGAACAGAAATAGTGGTTGTGCAATGACGCTAGAAGGTAGTGTTGAAGAATATTTGTCGAACAATCAAAATAGAAAACCTGCCGCATCACACATACTTATGAGCAGCCTGTTCCACAAGGAAAAGATGATTCAAGAAAATATTGTCTAATTGACATTCGAACAATAATTAAATTGTAATGATAATTTGAACAATGATAATAATGATAACAATAGTAATATAATAATAATTTAAAGTGCCTACGACACGAAATTTATTTTTGCATTTTCTGGTTAATAGCTGTATTTAAGATTGGAAAAAGAAGATTTGTAATTGTCTACTGAGATTTTTCAGTTTTCTAAGTCATCACCCGCTAACTCGTTAGCTGTCTACGAGACACTTTGAAGACAAAATAAGCGCACCTCAGGGCCCGCAAAAAGCGTGTATTTTTTAAATTTTTTGTCCAATTGGAATTGGTTTCTACTTATGATAAGCTAAATGTATACGCAAAAAAAAAATTCGTGTCATAGGCACTGTAAAGAGGCTAGTTCGAAAGCCTCATGATTCCCCTATCCTCTGCGCTCCAACAATGATTACCTATAATTCTTTCAGTTAATATTACTCATTAGTTACAAGAATTTTCTCATTTTATTTTAATTCCTTTTTTGGAAGCTTTTGTTTCACACAAAAACGCAGTCAGCGTTTTGGGTTATCCGACATTCCTCGTTTAAAGATATTCCGCCATCACGCCGATCTACCGTTCCTCCTAACTCAAGGTATCTTATTTCGCAGCATACTTGTTTCGCAAATTGAGCAGCTCTTTTTGGCAAAAGTCGGTTATTCAAAAAGTAAAATACTCTCTTTTCAAAGAAAAACTAATTTCTTCGAGGCTTCCATGATGGTCAGATCACATCTACCGAGATATTTCTGCAATGAAAAGTTTTTTAGTTAAATTATGCGTCGGTGGATGCCACCGTAAAATTATTTTGAGCAATGGGCTTCTGTTTTGAGATGTTTATCGTCGTTTGTAGTGTCAGGACAAAAACTGAAAATATTATTTATTTGGATCAATATAATTTGTTGATTTAAACGGTGAAATGTTCTCTCTTCGAAGAAAGAATTTTCAGAGTTTCATGATCCGCTGATCACGGGAAAAAGTTTTCTGTTTTTTTGCGCGTGCAATCCTGCAATTATTGTGAGATGTTTATCGTCTGCTCCTGTCTTCTTTAGTGGCAAGGCAAGAACTGAAAACATAACGCTCTAGTGGCTTTAAGCCAGAAATCACAAAATGAATGAAGTCAAATGTGTATCGAGTGCGAATGTCGAACTACTAAGATACTCTCGAAATTAACAATAAATGTCACCGGGAAACATCGCTTCAAAATTGGGAAAGATCGGAATTCTATCAAGTTGGAGCAAGTTGTTATACTCACTCACTTATCTCAACAGCATATGTAGCTTCCCTCCTATAGGAGGCAATATAGCGTGCGAGCTTGAGGACTAAATCCACTCTCAAGGAAGGAGTTGGTTTCCAGCTTATAAAGGAAAAATTATCCAGCTGTCAAAATTTGACCGGCGTCACTATTTGTCGCTTAGCTAGCGAATCATGCCGAGTTTCGTGAAGCAGTTCCCGCATACTAAGTATGTACCTTCGGTTTGTTGAATTTCCCAAAACGACTCTCTACCTAAAATTTCATACTTTTGCGGTTAAGATCAGGCAAAACCAAAACAAGATTGGTAATATAAAGCTTATAAAGCATCCATTGCGTAAATTAGAATTACACTCAGAAAGATAAGGAAAGAGAAAATAGCCCTTGAATTTTGTTACATGACAACTGAATAAACAGAAAATTCGTGGAAGAAAGGGCGCGCCCAAATGCCATTCATATCAGTTAACTTATTATAAATTGGGGAAGGTGAAAAGTACAAGTTGTTTACGCCTTTAGTCACCTTACAGAAAAAGGTGTTGAACGTGCTAAATAAAAAATTTATAATTACCTACTCTACTTACAAAGACTGCCAAAGAAATACGAAATGATCAACTAGCTTATAGTCAGTTGCTTTGGATTAGGGTTTAGGGTTTTCTTAACTTAATTGCTTACGCTAGTATGCTATTTCCATTCCCTTTCCAACGCTTAAATAAGTTAAAAACACATCTGCAGAAAATTCTTGCTTAATGCCAATTTTGTCTTTTAACAACATTCCTTACCAGGTATACAGGCACTATAGTATGATTACAGAGAGCAATCCATTAGTCTCGTTCAGTAAACAGGTCGAATTTAACAATTCTGATGTTCAAATATCATCTATGATTTCGCCTTATCCAAATTTTATCCACTCAAGCAAGGCACGCTTGTATGACATCGGCAGAGCCTCTCAAGGAAAGCGTTGGTTTCCAGCTTATAAAGGTGACAGTTATTCAGCTGTCAATATTTGACCAACGTCACTATTTGTCATTTAGCTGGCGAATCATGCCGAGTTACGTGGAACAGTTCCTACATACCAAGTATGTACCTTCGGTTTGTTGATTCTTCCTAAAACGACTTTCCACCTAGAAATTAAAAAATAATAAAAATTATAAAGGATCCATTGCGTAAATTAGAATTAAACTAAGACAAATAACCAAAGAGAAAATAGCCCTTGGAAGTTTGTTACATAACAACAGAATAGACAAGGACTCCAAGGAAGAAAGGGCGTACCCAAGATAGCGACCCCAAAACAAATAACTGCCGTTCATATATAAGTTAACTAATTGTAAATTCAGTCATGGTCATATGAATAGCTTACAGTAGCTCTCTCATTTGCAAGAAATGCTAAACTTCTCTAAAGCGAAATCATAGAACAGTTTTTCAAAATTAAGGAACATATTGAGCTCAACATCTCTAGAAATTAATCAAGTCCTTTTATCTCCAAGGCAAATTTACGACGGAAAAGAGAATGAAAGCTTGCCCGTAAGGTTTTAACTGTAATTAGAATAAAACATTATGCACCAAAGAAGGTCCATTCGTATTTGTAGTCTTGCTTTATTTAGTACACTTTTCAATACCAG